AGTCAAAGGTTCTTCAGGGTCCTCTTTCCGTCCCACTCCCCAAGTCCATCTGGGTCGAACGGATCGTTTCATCCATAGCCGTGTAGTTTTGATGGCCAGGTCGCCATCGAAATTCTAAATTTATCAGACTTGAACATTCTGATTCTACAAAAAACCACCTTACTTGGAACAGCTTATATCCTTCGACGTTACCTTGACAGTTCCTAGGGCCTTGTTTAAGACTCGAGCTGTTGAGCTACCAACCAGCCCCAAAGGCTGTGAATCTCACTAAAGATTAGCCACACAATAATAATAATAATGATAATGATAATGATAATGATGATAATAGTGGTTGATTTTCCCCTTGCAAACATGATTCGGTGAAGGTAAGCTATGACTAGCAGGTGGGTGAATTGACCTGAAAAATTGATGAATCTTATCAAGGTCAACTTTCTCAACAAGTCACTGAGATTAGCCATTATTATGCCCAGTTGTCGACACATTTTAATTGTAAACCACCTGGAATCCATGGATGACAAGACTGCTTATAAATTCTATAAATAAGTGTGAATTTCCACGGCTGGGCAGTTGTGAGACTGTCATCCCGATTTGGATCCTCCTGGCCTTCTTGCGTAAGGATGGGTCATGCCAACTTAAAGCCATCCAGGAACAGTGGCTGCCTCTGAGAGAGAGAGAGAAAATAACTTTTCCCAAGCTGTGCAGATGGGCTTGGCAAAAAGAATCCCAAATCATGCAGCTCTTTCGTTGCAAGGGGTTAAAGTGTTGCAGGATTCCAGGCTCCAATCAGGGATGCAGGGCTCGGCTAGCTTAGTCTGAGCATCCCCATCCTCAAGCCGGGTTGGGATGGGATACTGACATTCAAGGTGAACTTGTGAGTGGGCTGAGGCCCTGCAAGACTTAGGGGCCAGATAGGCAAGCGATTGTTGAGAAGTGAGGTGTTTGGTTGCCTTGTAGGATAGTCTGACTTCTCTGGAATACAGTCTTCCTTGCAGATTCAGTTCTTGGCATTTTAGCAGTTAAATTGTTCAATAACCTTAGCAGGGAAGAAAAAAACCTCAGAGGCTTCTGTGAGCTCTCATCAGCCTTAACATGGATCAGGCAGTTCCTTATGTAACTGTGTGGCTTCATTGCTGCAGGCAAAGGGCAGTGAAAAGAAGGCATTTTTTGAGATGCTGACACAGAGCATCAGAGAGAGAGAGAGAGAGAGAGATGCTCAAGGCTGTAAAGAACCTTGATTCTTCTTCCTGCTCCAGGGGATGATGCCACCAAGAATTTCCACATTGTTTCTTAGGGGCTCAGGGTCTTACTGCAGCTCCTCTGTCCAAAGCCTCAGGGTAGGAGTTGCTGAGATCGGCCACTTCCATGTGGGGGCCCCTCCACCAATGCTTAGCACAAAGAAGGGGGGGGGGAGAATGAAACGTGCTCAGCCATGTGAGGGAGGAATGGTGGATGCACATGATTTCATGTTTACATCCATGTGCCTCATGGATGAGTGCACATGGTGCAGCCATGAACTATCATTCACCCTTCCTNCCCCATAAGCCGAGCCCTGCCAGCCGCCTCCCATCCCCGGCTTTGGCTTTGCACGCGATCGTGCAAAGACGAAGCGGCGGAGCACACTCGGGGCCCTTCTGAAGCGCCATCTGAGCGGGCCTGTCCTTGGCGCCTTTTCGGCCCTGAGTGCGAATCCGGCCCGGGAAAAAGCCTGCAGCGCTGTTTTTCTTGCCCTGTCCCAACGCAAACCCTCCCAACCGCGGGGAGGGCGTCGGCGGACGGATCCGGGGCTGCAAAGCGCGAGTGGCGGCGCCGCCAATGGGACGGGACGGTAACCGGGAGTGGATCTGCTGCCCACCCCACACCCTCTCAGCTGTTGCGTCCTTGGCTGCCCTCGGCGCCGCTGCCCCGGTTGCGCGCAGGGAGCTCAGCGATCGCCTCCCCGCAGCTTCTCCATCGGGAGGCCCGCCGCGCTCAAGGACGCGCCGTTGCGCAGGGTTGCCAGGAGGAGCCCCGTTCGAGGTGGCCGCAGTGCTTCTCCGCCGCCTGGAAGCATAACCGATGCCAGGGCGGGTGCCAACCTCCCCCGCGGGCAACGGGCTCTTGGGCAGACGCGACGTGCCCTGCTTAATGAATGAATGAGCCGCCTTTCCCGGCCGGGACGCCTGGCCCGCCCTCTCCTTTGCCGGCCTCGGAGGCGGAGACGCCCCGGCTCGGGCTAACCTTGGGTGCGCCCAGGCAGGAGGTCCCGCTTCTTCACTTCTCTCCCCCTCACCGGAGCCACCGGCCGCTCATCGTCGTTGCTGAGGCGACTTTCCTCGCCGGCAGCCGCCACCGAAGCCGGGCAGAAGGTTAAGCAGCTCTTAAGCCGGCTGCGTTTTTTTCGCTTCCTCCCCGGGAAGATCAGCCTCGGGCTGGCCGAGATAGGAGACCGGAGGTCTGCGTGAAGATCCCAGGTAGGTTTCAAGCATACGGGAAGATGCCTTCTTGGCAGGGAGGAAAAGGTGCCCTTGAATTTGGTACTCGGCCTTGACTCTTCCAGGGTTAGGGGTGTGTGAAGCTTGGGGAGGGTGGTGAAAGAGCTGTTTTGCAAATATTATTATTGTTATTATTATCATTATTATTATCATCATCATCATTATTATCATTATTATTATTATTATTAACTTTATTCAGTAAACATGAAACTCAGCCAACTGAACATTCAAAAATGCATTACAAATACCATTGACTGATGCTAATGGTTGACACCGTTTGCTGCCAGCGTCCTAGGTATCAACCAAGTACCTTCTTAAAATATAAGATGTTCCGAAGTTTTTCGCAGTTCCGCTGGTGTTATTGCAGGAAGCTGCAATTTGTTGATGTACATTATAAAATTCTTGGACCAATTCTTGGTGCCAAGTGCC